AACATTTCATTCTATTATATATAGAGTCTCCATGAGTCAGAACGGATTCGACAGTCACTAACAGCAACACATGACAATGACAGATGATGCAGAACTTCTTTTCATGTCTATTGGCCATCTATCTGTCTTTTTTTTAAACCATTTTATTAGGGGCTCATACAACTCTTATCACAATCCATACATACATCAACTGTGTAAAGCGCATTTGTACATTCATTGCCCTCATCATTCTCAAAACATTTCCTCTCCACTCAAGCCCCCGGCATCAGGTCCTCATTTTTCCCCTCCCTCCCCACTCCCTCCTCCCTCATGAGCCCTTGATAATTTATAAATGATTATTTTGTCATATCTTTCCCTGTCCGACGTCTCCCTTCACTCACTTTTCTGTTGTCCATTCCCCAGGGAGGAGGTCACATATAGTTCCTTGTAATCGGTTCCCTCCTTCCAACCCATTCTCCCTCTACCCTCCCAGTATCGCCACCTGGATGCTTTCTCACCGGCGCACTTTGCAAGGTTCTTAAAACATCTTCCAGTGAGCCTGCATGATGGGTCTGTCCTTGAGAAAGTTTATCAAGGGCGCTCATTTCGAACTCTAAACCACGGTCACCATAACCTTTTGAGCTAGCCTCTCTGCTTTGAATTTCATCGGCTCGGCAGATCCCCCGGGAAGTCACTGTTGTGATTGACCCCTTTCTGTCAGCCCCCTAAGAGACTAAGGAAGCACCTTACCGAGGGAGCGAGTCTGTGGCTGAGACATGCCCACATGCGCTCTGTTGAGGGTGACCCAATGCAGGGACGAGCTGAACCCCAGGAGCAGTACTGTCTGAGTCACCCCCATCTGTAAGACAAGGGGGCTTCCAAAGCATATGACCGAAAATGGAATAGAAAGATAATAGAGTTTTTGTCATGCACTTTTGGAAGCCCGTTCAAGTATGTATACGTGTGTGTGCATGTACGTGTATCTACATACATATGTATGAAATCTTGTGTGTGCATAGTCACTCACCTGGATGCATTTGTTGTTACTGTTGTGTGCTGTCAACTCAAACTCATGTGACTTCATGTGACAGTGTGGAGCTGCCCCGTGAAAGAGGCAGACTCTGGTAGAAAGAAATAGACTGTGCGTGTGTGTGTGTGTGCGCGTGTGTGTGACATGTCTATACATAAACACGCATGTATAAAGTGCTTGTGTGTCTATTCACCAAGACTGACTAGGAAAGCTGGCAATCGGTGTCCAGTTCTAAGTACCAGCCAGTGAAAACCCCAGGGGGCACGGGGCTCCGTCCACAGCCAGCCACGGAGACGGCGCCGGGCCAGCAGTAGTCTCTCTGTAGTGTGTGGAGTCGGCATGATTCGAGGGCCACTGCACAGCAGCCAACAACAACAACCCACGTCTCTGGACAGGCCTCACATTCACGCCGCTGCTGGGCTTGCATGCCCCTGGCATTTACCCAGCTGTCTTGGCCTTTCTTCTCCCTCCCTGCCCAATGGTCCCACCTGCCATTCTGGGCGGATGCGCTTGCTCTGGCTGTCCCTGGCCCTCCCAGGCCACACATGGGCTCTGGGGACACACCACTTCTGGAATCCCCTGGTTAGCTGAGGCTCCCCAGGGCTCTACCCTGCTCTCTGGCTCGGGGCAAGATAGATTCTGCAGAATTCCCTTCTAGACCACACAGGAGGAATGTGTTTGTGATTCTACACCAAAGAACTGGTCACAGGTAGCAGTTCTTACATTCTTATTCCGCAGTCTTACAGCAGCACTATCCACAGTAGCCAAAAGGTGCCCGAAGTCCGTCCACAGATGAAAGGCTACCGAGACGACACAGGGGCACACCATAGAGTCCTCTTCAGCCATCAGGAGTGCACCCCGTCAGTTGCAGGGGATTACTGTGATGCCACACGGATCAGATGTGTGCAAATGCACAGACCGGAGTGGCTTGGGAGTGACCAGCGGCAGGGGTGGCGAGTGATGGGTTAAGGGATGCACAGTTTCTGGTCAGGTGGTGGTTGCACTGCTGGGGAACACAGCCACCTGAGCTGTCCACTGAGGAATGGGTCACATGGTTGCAGGTTTTCGACAGGTAGCCCCTGACTCACCAGCATAGTGCGGTCACAAGTAACTGCCCTTCCAACCGTCCGTTCTGACTTGTCTGTGTTATCGTTAGTAACATGTGCTACATGCAGTATGTAGCACGTACTGTGCTGATGTTATCATTCTCAGTACACAAGCTGATAACAAGAGGCAATAGTAATGAAAAGCTATAGGAAAAGAAATAGACATTCGGCTTACATCAGAACCCACTAGTGACAGAGTCATTGTCACAAAACTCCTGTGTGCATCAGGTCTACCGGTACCTAGTTTAACTCCCTCCCCACCCCCACGTCCCAGCACGAGTGCACAAGTCCCAAGGCAGCCCCACTCAGCCCGCGTCCCTGGGCCCATCCCAGGCCCTGCTGCTGGAGCTCACAGTTACGTCAGGTGCCGGCCAGCCTCGAGGCCTGTGGCTCCAGGAGCAGCCTTCAGAGTGCACCCACGCAGGCCGGGCCCACTCAGAGCCGTGCCACCACCAGTACTTAGGGGAGAGAGTCCACCCCTGTGCACTGCGCCCCAGCGTCACCCCGGCTGTTGGTCTGTCCGTCCGTCCCAGGGGCCATTTGGATGTTTCAGCATGAGCTGCCCCTGAAGGCTGGGGCACAAACAGTTTTCTTGTGTGGGACCGCCCTGGTCTCCTCGTACACTGCCACAGACACGCTTTCAGCGTGTGGCTTTACCCAACAGATCTGCCCTCTCCCAGTTTAGGAAGCGGGAAAGGTTCAGACTCACCTGGCGGCTTCGAGGGCAGACCGAGCTGGCGACTGCAGACTGGACAAGCCTCCAGGACAGCTCTGCTCTGACACCCGGGAACCCACTCGATGGTACATAACACAGTAACAACATCCACCGGAGGACCAGGCCCCAGAGGCTCCGATGCGGACGAGGCCACCGCTGGCCCTGGGTTGAGCACAGGCTTTGGAATAACGTGTGCTGCCCACTCTTTCTAATGGGGGGAGAGCCTGTTGCAGAACACACACACACACGCACGCACACATCCCCACGCAGACACACACGTATGTGCGAGACAGAGGCCTCCCAGCACGTTTTATGAAGTCAGTTTGCTCTTAACTCCAAAGCTGCCAAGATTGTAGAGCGAGGTGGTGATCCTCACGAAACACAGCATCATGAACAAGGGGGCGGGGGCGGGGGAGATCTAAAAGTCTATGACTAAACCTCACGCAGGTTCAAACTACCTTGAAGTCCTAACACCATTTAAATAAACAGCAACTGGAATCTATACGAGAAACATTCTCAGCGTGTTTAATTCAACAGCCACACTCTGCTCAGTGGGGACCTAGCTCCTTCACTTTTTCAAAAGATGGGTGAATGTTTCCATTTAAAGTATTTGCAGGAGTATTCTTTTTGGATTGCCTGCCTTCACTTGCTCTTAGAGACCCTGTCAGCCTGCTGGTTTACAGACACCACCACTTGTATCTTCTACCTCTGGGCTTTATGGGGAGTTTTGTACCACTGCTAGTCCATGGTGGCTTCGTGGTGGGAACTTGTAACTCCCTAAACGAAGGTCTGTCTGTGCCCGGTTGCTGAATGGAGAGGCCACTGTCTGGACGCTGTGTCTGGGAGGAGTGGTCGTCTATAACGTTGGTCTTTGGCCTTCTGTACAGAGAGATAAGTATTGTGACACATTCACGGCTTCCTGTGTGGTTGTGGGGTCTAGGTAACATCTGAGTGAAGAAGTTATTTCCAGGCACAGTACGATAAAAGCACACGTGCATCCTTGACGTGTTGTACGACCAATGGTGCATTTAAGTATTGCTTACTTTTTTTCCCCCCTCATGGGCTTTTGAACAGGGAACAAAGGTTTATAAGTACATTTATGCATTCTTGTGTTTTACTGGGAAGGTCTGATTTGGGGGATTAGGTAACAGTCAAATGAATAACTTATTTTGAGGCTCAATACTATGCAAGCAGGTGTTAGAGCGTCTTCAACAGCCTGTGTGCAATTCATGCCATTGTCAAGAACCTGCCTTCTGGTTTGTGAGCTATGAGTAGCTGTTTTGCAACAAGGATTGATTCATTGCAGTGGCCACGGACAAGAGGAAGACCCTCATTTCTCGTCAGGAACCAGCCAGACATTGCCAGGTGCCAAGTGGGAACCCGTTCCGGTGGGTTGGAAAACACCTCCTTGTCTAGGGAGCCAGGGCCATGCCGGGAATGAGCAGGAACAGGCCGTCTCTAGGTAGTAGTGACATGCGTGTGTGCGGCTGGTGCGGGGTCCTCTTCTGTGTTACCCCGTATTTTCAACAACACTTTCACTCAATAAATTAAAATTGCAAAGATAGAACTGTTTTTTGGTTTGTTTGGGGTTTTTTTTTGCAATACAAATAAAAGTTTTAAAAAAACACAACAAATAAAAGTTAATTGTACAAAAGGAAGACCTTCCTATTTCATGACTCCCTAAGGCTAACAAAAGATGAATTATTTCAAAGCTTTAATGTCACCACCCCTTCTGCTCCCAATTATAAAAGTGGTCCAACTAAATGTTATCAGAACAGACATCATCAGTAAAGCCGCATCCTTTAAAGGAGACTGCCCCAGGTACTATTTCTGTGCACACGTGATCTTCCTGACATGGGATGGTGTGATCTTCGGTCCTCATAAAGTGTCCCTGGTGGCTCCATCCTGCCCATCATTTTCAGATTTAACAGAAGCAATGTCATGCCTTGAGGTACCAGCCTTACTTCCTTAAAACCAGGAAACTGATCGATTAAACAGCATGGATAGCATCATCTCATTGGTCTCTTCTGGTGTGTTATTAGGGAATAACATATAGTTTGGACCTGAGGACTTGGGGTTGAATTTCCTTAAGTGTTGGCTGAATTTGGTGTTGCCTGGCCAAGTGTTCTGTTTGTGACTGTTGTGATCTGTTATACAGTTTGGGGTTTTTCTTCTTCTCTCTGCTAGCAAAAGTGCCTCGTGTTTTAGACATTATATCAGAATCTGGTGTGCATCCTGGATTCACTGTGGTTTGCCATATAATGGACATCCTTGTAACCATCTCAAAGCATTTGTGGGTGAGCTGAGTTTGTTAAATATAACAAGGCCTGGCCCTTCATCTTCATAGTCTTTAAACTGAGAAAGCATGTAAAGATCTCTTTGAACAATTTGGTTTGATATCCATGTTTTGGGTTATATTGTTCAAACAACCTGAGGCTACCTGTTCAAAACCTTCCCCCAAGCCTTGTTGCATCTGTTCAACTTCCAAACCCTACTGGGATATACGAGGGGGTGCATGCACACACACACACACACACACACACACACACACACACACACACACAATGGATTCCACCCTATCCCTGAGCTATGTATTTAAATAGTTTTACAAAAAACAACCTTATCACCTTCAAAGTATTCTCCATTACACGCAATACATTTGTCAAATCCATGATTCCTTTCCTGGAAATATTTTTCAAACTCATTGTTTGGATGGCTGACAGCATCATTTATTTCTTCACCTCTTCTACATCATCAAATCACTGTCCTTTCATTTCCGTCTTCATTCTCAGAAACAAAAAGAAGTCGCACAGAGCGAGGTCAGATGAGTAAGGTACATGGGACAAGAGAGGTGTGTTGTTTTTTGCCCAAAACTGGAGCATTGAGATGGCTGTGTGAGCAGGTGCATTGTCATGATGGCTAAACCAGTCCCCTGTCTGCCACAAATCAAGCCTTTTTTGTCTCACACTGTTATGCAGTCTTTTCAGAACCTCTAAATAGAAAGCTTGATTAACAGTCTGAGGTAGTTAGTTTATTGTGCCAACCTGGCCGATAAACATATGTGGGGTTAATTGAAGGGTGGAGGGATAAATGGCTCCGTGAGCCTCACCTTTCTAGTTCTCGGGTCTCTTGTTTTGTAATGATCCGACCAGGGTGGAGTTGCCTTAGCCAGTTTCCTGCTTCAACTGCCAAAGCTCACTTCCTGCAAGACATCCCTGAGGAGACGCTACATGGACCAACCCCGATGCAGCCCTGGGTGCTGGAGCAGCCGTGTGGAGACCCCTGCCAGCACTGAAATGGTTACACATTCACTGACTTGGCTTTCCTCCTGCAGTCGGCATCATTGTGTGTGTTTTGTGAGATGGAGGAGGACTTTGTGGATTGGTGTTGGACATATGGGTTAATGTTGGACTTGTGGGCTTGGGCAGCACTGGGTTGGGATGTTTTCTTGATGTGCACTTAACCTTTATATAAAACTCTCTCTTATACATGAGTTTCTGAGGATTTGTTTCTCTAAAGTACCCAGACTCACACACAGTCTGACCTGATGGAATGAACAACAAATGCACTACGAGTCAACATTTTCATCCATTCAGGAAGTTGATGGATGTCCAGAATGAGGTTTCTCATTAATCGACATTTCACCTTTTTTGAAACAAAGAAATCACTATACACTTGAGTTTTTTCCACAGCTCTGCCCTTGTAAGCTGTGTTCAATATCACAACAGTTTCTGCAGCACTTTTCCCAAACAGGACACAAAATGTGGGATTAATTGAAGGGCAGAGAGATAAATGGCTCAGTGAGCCTCACCTTTCTAGTTCTCTGGTCTCTTGTTCTCTGATGGTCAGACCAGTGTGTGGCTGCCTTAGCTGGCAAGGCTCACTTCCTGCAAAACATCCTTGAAGTGAAGTCACCTGGACTTACCCTGATGCAGCCCTGGGTGCTGGAGCACTCGTGTGGAGACCCCTGCCAGCGCTGAGATACTTACACATTCACTGACTCAGTTTTCCTCCTGCAGTCGGCATCATTGTGTCTGTTTTGTAAGATGGAGGAGGACTTTGTGGATTGGTGTTGGGCATATGGGTTAATGTTGGACTTGTGGACTTGGGCAGCACTGGGTTGGGATGCTTTCTGAATGTACACTTACCCTACATATAAAACTCTCTCATACATATATGAGTTTCTGTGAATTTCTTTCTTTAGTTTACCCAGACTAACACAATGAGGTTCAAGTGAAAATGCTTTTACAAAAAAATTCACCGTGACCAGAGAGAACCTTCCCAGGCAATGCCACTGGTTGCACTAACCTAGAGTGAATTGCTTGATGCTCACCAAGCAGGAACAACGTGTACTACAAAAGTTCCACTCAGCAGAGCTTTTTTTCCATTTGGGGGTGGGGGGGTTCCCCCTTGTATTAGTCTTGGTAGACTAGAGAAACAAATTCATAGACACATGTGTAGAAGAAAGAGCTTTAAGTATAAGAGCAGTTGAATATTGAGAAAACATCCCAGTCCAGTCCAGATCAAGTCCATAAGTCCGATATTAGCCCATATGTCCAATACCAATCTATAAAGCCCTCTTCAGCCTCATGAAACACATGCAATGATACTGAATGAAGGAAGATCACAGGAGGCCAGTGGTGGGAAGTCTTGTGGCTCCAGTGGCGTTGTAAGCATCACAGCCCTGGCAGGGCTCTCCATGTGGCTTCTCCAGCTCCAGAGGTCTGGCTCTATCAGCTTCCTTCCATGTGTCTTCTCCACAGGGATGTCTCACAGGGAGTGCGCAGAGAGAGAGTGTGTCTCCTGCCTCCAAGGAGGAAATACAGGGGTTCCCAGAGTCCTCAGGAGAAGGCCATGCCCACACAGAGGCCTCATTGGCTGTATTCTGATTGACAGGTTAGACTCCACCCCTATACTCTTAATCCTCAAATTGACACCAGATTATGTAACTACCACACCCCTTGTATACCATTTAATATTACTAAAATCCCATCTTACATAACAGAAGAACATCCAATGCTCAATCAATAATTTCACATGCATTCTATTAGTGAGGAAATATTACAATACTGGGAAATTAGAACCATAAAATGATTCGATTGTGAAAAGATTTATTTAAAAATCAGCCACCACCGAATGTCCCATTCCAATCAGATAAAGAGGCTTCTATTCTGTCCTTTAAAGGAACAAATGCTACTTTTAACACCGCTGGGCTCATTTACCCAAATCCAATGCCAGCATGTTACTGGGAATGAGTCTGCTGTTAGTCTAATCAAATCCGAGAACAGTGAGGGAGAAAATAATGAAAGTTCATAAAACGAGTTAGAGGCTCATTTTTATCTGTCCCTGGTATCAATGTGGGACATGAAAACCCCGAAGGGGATCAGCTCAGGAGCTAGGTGTCAAAGCCCTGATGTCACCCCCTCTGGAGTATGACCACCTGGAGTGCCACCAGGCTTTCTGTTTCATTGCCAGCCAGGATCCATGGCCCAGGCTCAAGTT